GCAGGTTTTGGCATTTCATTTGCAATGTTCTGCATGTACCCTTCTGGGTCCCAAAGGTTCATAGTCTATAGATATAGATATATAGATATCTATAATATATATAAAACCTTGAGTTCCGCAATAATTCTAGCAAGAAGAGAGTTCAGACTATTGGTGTTGGCAATAAAAAGTGTCCAGCTTGTCTGCAAATCTTTTTGGATAGGACATTTACTAAATCTTCGGGGTTTAGTGTACTGAACATATTTAAGCTTGTATATATAATATTTTGACCATGCATAGAATGCATGTTGAAAATGTGCAATAAATTCTAACTTGAAGATATAATTTCTACTTTTGAAATTAATGAAAGTTGTTTTGTGAAATGAAAAACACAAACATGTGCCATTATAATTGGATAAAAACTTTCCAAACACGTCAGTGAAGTACTGCAATAAGATTTTATGTTTAGTAGGGGGTTCAAAAATTTTTTACTGATATAAAGGTGCCCTCACGTGTAAATAAAAGTTATCGTGAAATATTGTTGCTATTGCAATTTACTTCAAAAGTGTAAAGCCTGGTGTTCTGTTAGACACTGTGTCAGTTCACCCGTCTCACCTGCAGAATTTACCTCAGCAGCCCCTCCTCTCCATCCACCTTCTTACCCCCCAAGCTAATTCAAGCATTCCCTCTGAACTCCAGTAAGGGTGCATCGACTTATTGCATTATGTACTATTAAACAAACTTGGACTCTCTTTAAAGCGAAGTCAGACTTCAGAGGGCTGTGTGGCATGTTTATGGGGGTGGACTGTACAGTACACAGAGATTTCTCATTTCTCCTGGTGACCTTGGGCACAGCGACATGTACGGTTTTGAGGCTTTGATTTGCTATGTTGAGGTGTTGCGGAAAAGGTGCAATGCAAGATAATTTTGGCATTTTTCCCCCTCCTGGGAGCATAGAGAAAGTAAGAAATACAGCAGTTCATACTCTGGAGATTACAGGTAATATGACACACAGCCTTCATAAACATTCTTGACCCAACCTGATGATGGAGATATTGCTTCAGGAGAGACTTTTCACACTTTGATTTGCCTAAAATGAGATGGAGGAGTCAGTGATCAGACTCTTTGAGGTTCCTTGCAGAGAGGAAGGGGCTGGCTGTATATGTCTTCCAGCGTTTAACACACACTTACACACACATGCAATGACAGCCAGGTGAGCAAGGAGCAGACTTCTCCAAACAAACTGAGAAAACATCCTCAAACAAGATTATATTGATGTATTATTCATGTCTGAAAAAAAAATACTGAAATGATCCATCTCAGGCCATTGAAACCAGGTGATAATCCACCAGCTTCCAGGGTTGGCCCTCAGGCGAATTAGGGATGAGCAAACTATTGTGCAGCCCTCTGAGGTCAATATGGTTGAACTGGTGATACATATGTATGTTAATTTGCCTAATCTCACTTCTACAAATGTCTTACAGGCACATAAAGGGTTTAACACTGAGATATAATCATATCAGGGCATCAAGCAGGCAGCTTATGAAAACATGAGGCAGCCATCGTTTTAAATTGGATGCAAAAAACTCCAAAGTGACTCTTAGTGTGTAAAGTAAAGCATAAAGTATACAGTTAATATTTTACAAATGTTTTAACAAGAAAATGTTTCACCTTTTTAGTGGAATCTGAAATATGATGCATGTTTAACACTTTGATGATCCAGTCGTAAGAGATGCAAAACTCATTCTGAATGCTCATACTCAGATAACGGTTAGAAAAACCTGCAATATAATAAAAATATGACAACCATTCTCCACTGCTTTCATCACATGATGGCAAACATTTCCCACAATTTTAATTGCATACACAGCAGCCTACATGAGAAATGCAAGCATTTACAATTAACTGTTTTGTTAATTCTCTCCCTCTCTTTTGAAATGTGAAATGTGTGTGTGTGTGTGTGTGTGTGTGTGTGTGTGTGTGTGTGTGTGTGTGTGTGTGTGTGTGTGTGTGTGTGTGTGTGTGTGTGTGTGTGTGTGTGTGTGTGTGTGTGTGTGGGGTGTGGGGGTGTGTGTGTGGGTGTGTGTGTGTGTTTTCAAATAACATAAATAAAGACTGAAACTCTTTCTTATGTATAATTTTAATTATAGTAAGTGAATAATTTTTTATCATTAGCACAATCATAATGACTGGAAAGTAAATGTATCCAATGCCTCCAGAAAATCTTGTGTTAAATCTTTATTTAACCTAAATAATTATGAATGTTTGGATTTATTCAGATGTCTGTGACAACACAGCTACTTCTGTCATCTTCGGTTCAGCCACATTAGAATATGCTTCCCTTTTGTATTGATGAAGGACAATCGGAATAAAAATATTGGAAAACCAAATTCAAAGTGTTAAATCCCAAAATAATCCTTCATCTAAGGATGTAAATATTCCTCTAAATCTTTTCTTCTTATTATTTTTAAAGTTTTCTCAAACTTCTCCATGGCTGTATCTCCACCTTTCCCATTTGGTTCCCATCTAACCTCCCTCCCCCCAAAAAAAGAAAAAGAAAAGAAAAAACATAGCCTATCTATTCAAAAGGCATTTAGTCCATTTCTTTTTTGGCCGGTAAACCCATTCATCAATTGTTCTGGCTTGTAGATTGCATTCTAATGCTAATCCAGCGTGTTAAATATCTTTTTGTCCCCCTTTCACCGTTTTGTCATTCAGTTTATCCAGTTTTGGCCACCCATTTTATTTATTTATGCGCCTGCCTCCATTCATGCGCTCATGTATTTTTTATTATGTTGTTTCACTGTCATGCAGTGTCAACTCACTCCATTCAACGTGGGCTACTTGAAGGGCTCCGAGGGACAAAGCGTGTACACATTGCACCGCTATTCACTCCGGCCAGCTGGATCGGGTGAAAAAGAAAAAAAAACCTTGTGAAAAGAAATCCTCCACAATGGACACAGAAGAAGTGGACAATGCTAACAGTTTTCCAAATACCACTGATTGCTTTCATCACAATGAGGGAAAGCAGCCGCTTTTGCTGAGCTCCACTTCAACAAACAACACTCTCACAAAAACCTCCCAACCCATGTTTTGTTCCCAGACAAAACCTCCTCGACCATCTAAACGCTCCCAGAGCCGAAGGAAAAAAGGAACTTCTTTCAGCTTTCTTCCCCCTTTTTCCTTAAGAAAAATAAAATAAAAAGAGAAGAAAGTGAAAGAAATGCACGAAAGTTGTAACTCAACTTCATATATACTAAAAAATGGAATTTTGGAGGATATTAATTTTTAGCCATTAAAATGTTTGACTTTAAGTAAGGACTAATTTACACTTCTTCATCTCAACAGTGGCTTCCACACCAGCAAGCAACATTATTTTATTTTGGTAACAAATCCTACGATTTAATTATAATTTAACTGAAAAAGTTTATGCGGTCAGTTTTTTCTCATTTGCTATGTCTGACAAAACTAATATATCTATTTAGTTTTGTGAAGGTGCTAAAGCTAAGGTCAATTTTGCTAGCAAACTAAACTTTGAGTCAGTTCTTGCAAATGAGCATCACATCTAAGCAGTGATTTTAAGGCCGATTTGCATGTCAACTTGTTGGCTCAGAATCAAAAGGCTTGTATTCAGCCATCTAGCCTAGCGACAGTGCTAACCCGAAAAAGGAACCTGCTATCAAGTCGAACTTCTTAACTAACACAGTCATTGTCAGGTAATAACAAATCTTATCTGTGTTTTTGAGGGTAATGTCCATTTTCCAGAACAAATTTTGTAAAAGTTTGGATCCAGTTTTAATTATTTTATTTATAGTGCTAATGCTAAAGTTAAACTTTCTAACAAAATCAGTTTCTTAACCCAGATGTATTTTATGCTACTAAAGCTTAGCTGTTGTTGTTAAGGAATACAATTTAACATGCAATATTATAAGACAGATTTTTTTTTTTTATTTTTTTGTATATCACTATCATTTTATGCCTTAATCAGAATAAATTTAAAATTTTGATTATTTAAATAGGAGAAAATACCCAGATATTGTAAAATGGTTGGTTTGAATGTCAAATATTAATTTTGGCATCACTTAGCAGTTAAAGCTTTCCAAATAGGCATGCAAATATTACAGCAACTTTACTGGCTATTTCAACAGATTAATTTGTAAAGGGATTTGATCAGAACATTTTTTTAAAATGCCTAAATTGTTAATCCATGTCTAATACTTAGAAAGAAAAAAATCTGTTCAAGGCTGAAAGTATCCAAGATATAGAAATAAGAAATAAATGCAAGTAGACAGACACTTTTCTTGTTTTTCCGGCCTTGAAATGAATTGAAAGCCTGCACAGCGCGTCATTGTGGGGGCCAAGGAGGAGGAAGTTCCGTGGAGAGAAGGGATCGAGGTGTCACAATGGAGAGCAAAGCGCTGAAAAGGTTTAATTAACCGTGTCGGAGATAATTATCCCTGGACTGTCCAAATTAGTTTTGCATAATCGCTCTGATCCTTATGAATTAATCTCCCGGTGTAATCTAGAAGAGGCGGCTCGCTTCATTTTGGTGCTTTACATGTTGCTGAGAGATTCGGACAGTCCGCACCTGCTTCACACACACTTTCTCACTCACACTCTCTTGGGTGCACCCATTTATTTAAATTAAACCTATTTTGTTTTTCTTCTCACACTCAGGTTATTTTAGATCCTCAATGAGGAGCTTGTTTCCCACCACTTTTCACTGCTTTTTTTGTCCCTGCATGGGAAAAGAAAGCTTAGAGCAGGGCACAGTTTTATCTTCCGATTAAAATTGTGATAAATAAGGTTTTGGCTCTTGATAACAATGGGCTGATTTAGATTTCCCTCTCATACACCCCCCAGCCTGTAATGCCATTCAAAGCGTGGACAAAAGCGGCCTTTGGAGGATACCTTACACTTCACCTGGACTGGACTGAGGAGGCAGGAGCAAGAGGAGGTAGAAAAAAAAAAGAAAAGAAAAGATACCAATCTTGTTCATCTCATCAAGAACTATACAGTCAGCGATTCCCTTCCATTTAATCCGAATAGGTTTTATTGTAGTCCTTTTGCTCAACAATAGTTTGACGTACATAACGGGATGTTAAAGGAAAACACAAAACATACAAATTCCATATGAGTTAGTTAAAAAGGGTCTTTTTTCCCTTGCTGCACATGACACAAGAAGTGGGAATGGTGAAAATAATAATAAACTTCCAACTGCTTCCAAACTTTTTTTTTTCCGTTTGTATTTTTACTATTTAAAGAAAACGAGAGCTTCAAAATAAATTACATCTTGTAAGACTCATGTGCAAATGTCTTGTCCTTTTTTAAAATTGTCTGGCTCACCATAAATTCCACTAAAACAATAAATATTACAGACATCTATAAAACGTTTTTTAAAAAAAAAAAAAAAAAAGCAAAAACAAAATATATACACCGTGTTTCTAGTGAAATATCTCAAACACTAAAGCCTATAACGGCAAATAAACTAAAGGTCATTTTGGATCTGTACACATTTACATTTACAGTGTTGTGGCAGTCCTCCTCATTGATCCTTGAATAATAAGCCCCCCCATCTGAAAGTAAACAGTTGTGGTCCTGATGAGAGAAGCAGGAGAAAGGATGAGGGTCGGGGGGGTCATTGGCCATGATTCCAACAGGTCAGTCCTGCAGGTGAGAAAAGATGCTCAGCAGCTCAAATCTCTGCTCCTTGTTCAGTCGTCTTCCTTGCTGAGCAATAATAGATTAGAGAGTTCTCTAAATAAGCATTACCTTAGATAAAGGCATTAATCAATGTACATACACATGTGATATTGGAGAGGACGAGCACTTCATCACATGTACAAGTTTTTGCATGCATAATAAAAAATCTTGCATGAACAGATCAGTCACAGTCATCTCTGTGGCGGGCCTATCATAACGCCGCAGCATATGCAGGGTAAGGTTCAAGCTGAGGTTTCCCCATCCCAGGCAGCAAGATGTAGGCTAAGGGCGGCTGGAGTCCCGCCGAGGGCCAGGCCGTACAGTTACACGGGATCATGTACCCCGGGTTACCCGGCGACGGGTGCGAGTGGGTGTGGGTGTGCGTCCCACCGCCCACGCCGCCAGTCCCGGTAAACGCCGCCGCCCCTCCCGGCGGGTAACCCAAAGGAGAGGCGTAAGGAAAGGAAGGCGGGGAAAGCTCGGTCATCTTGGATCCCAGGTCAAAAAACGAGTACGGGTTCGCTGACATGGACGGGTTGAAGAAGACTCTCGCAGCCGCGGCCGCCGCTGCCGCCGCAGCCTTGTCCGGGTTCCCGATGACGGAGTCGGAGAGCGCTCCTGCGGAAAGTCCGCTAACTTTGAGCGCGTCGTGCTCCCCAAGATTATAGGGCACCGGGAAGGAAAACTTATCTTTTTTCATCAAAGTCTTGGGCTTCCGCCTCGGCCTGTACTTGTAGTCTGGATGCTCCTTCATGTGCATCGCCCTGAGCCGCTTGGCTTCGTCGATGAACGGCCTCTTCTCGGACTCCGTGAGAAGTTTCCACTCCGCTCCCAGCCGCTTACTGATCTCGGAGTTGTGCATCTTCGGGTTCTCCTGAGCCATTTTCCTGCGCTGGGCTCTGGACCAGACCATGAAAGCGTTCATCGGGCGTTTGACGTGATCCATTGGTTTAGACATGCTGCCGCAAACTCTCTCTAAAAGAAAATATAACGCAAAGTTTAAGAACTCATCAAGAAGGCAGAAAAAGAAAACACACACACACTCACACACGTATACACACACAAGATAATCAGCTTCATAACAATGTTATTCTTTCAAACTGGTAAGATTACTCACTCCAGACTTTAGTTCTTCATCCCACCCGTGGATTATCCGGTGAAATCGTCAAGTTTCTGCGTCCTTATGAATGCTCAAATGTTTCCAGCGTCATAGTGCCATCCAGAGTTGATGCACCTTAAGTGAAAAATTACAATAATAACAAAGAAAAAATAAAATAAATAAGGAAAGATTGTCTTGTTCTCCCTTGTCGCCTCAGACTGTCAGCCTAAACGCGCAGCAGCAGCGTTATACACAAGTGCATGACAGCTCCCGCTTGCCCCATGTGAAATACCGGATTGTGTGGCAGGTAGTGAAAGTGGCGCTCACGCATGCGCACTAGAACTAGACCCTTGATTTTTTTTCTTCTCTCTCTTAATTTCCACTGTGACTTTTTGAACGTATCTCATCTTTGAGATATTTATCCTTTTTTATACCTGCATGTGGAGCTTATTTTCTTAGACGGCGGTTGTTTATAGGGAGCAATGGCTTTATTCTAAAATTTATTTCTAACAGCTGCACATTTAACGACGTTAAGTTACGTAAGATCTTTTCCTTTATAAAAAAAAAAAAAACACAGGAGTATCACCTCATTCACATATATCTATTTCCAAGAAAAATCTGTCCACTTTGCGCACTTGTCATCCTAAAGGTGTCTTCCTCGTGGGTGGCGCTCCCCTCGAAGAAGAAAGGTACAGAATTGCTCTTTATTTATTTATTTTTTAAAATATATTGTCACTTTTATTTTATTTTCGCTTAATAAATAATAAGCAAAAAATATCGAGCAGGTCTGGAGTGTTTCTAATCGTGCTCGGTTAAAATTAATTACTTTCTTGAGATCCCCCCTCATTCCCTCCCACTTCCACGTTCACTTCAAAGGACCTTCCCAAGGGCAGCGAGTCGACAACTGGAAATTAGGTTGTCCAATATTCAACTGAGCAATTACAGCTATCAGCGGGACCTGTTGCGTTAACTGTAGGTTTTAAGTGGCTTGTTCTGGCACTTTCTCCTGTTGTACATAATTCTATGTTCAAAAAAAAAAAACAAAAAAAAAGTAAAGAAGCGGCATTGAGCAATATTATAAATGACAAATTAAGCTGCAGGTTGAGCGCTTAAATTAGGATATAAAATTCAATTCACTCCAGTTGTCCTTTTTAACGGTCTGCTCTAATCAGCTTGCACATTATTATTATTATTATTATTATTATTATTATTATTATTATTATTATTATTATTTCCTTTTTAAAAATAAATTAAGTTAAGACTAAAAAGTAAAATCTCTTAACAAGGATTAAAGAGGGATTTATTGCCGCGCACCTTTGTCTCTAGGGGAAACCTGAAGAGGTGACAATGATCCGCGCCAAATTAACAAAAAAAAAGGGCCAGATGAAAGATAGACCTGTTTCCCTCAGAACCGACCCGAGCATCTCTCAACGCCGCGCCTCTCCGCCCCCCCAACCTGTTTTGTCGGCCTTGTCATTCAGCCCCCCGATAACATTCCTGCAGAGAAGCGGCCCACTCCCTCTGCAGCAGCACGCTGCCTCTCATCACACAAGCGTGCAAACACAATTGCACGCGCAGCCTCCTTGCAGTGGTGAAAGTTGTTATCGGAGCAGAAGTGTCTGCTCACATGTGCGCCTTCAGGAGGACCTTCTTTCTTTCTTCATTTTTCCTTTTATTTTTGATAAGTGTCCCTTCCGCCCCCACACGTTCGAGTTTCCACTTCACGTCAGTTTTATTTCAAATGTGAGACTACTGGAATGCCATTAAAAAACAAAAATGAATCATAAATAGGTCCCTTATTTCAGCCGTGTAGATGTTTTGGCCCAGTTCAGCATGTAATAATGTGACATTCAGTGTATTTTCTTATCATCAAATATTCATATTTATTTATTTACTGTGGCCTGTCGTGGCAAATTAGGCAAGCAACATGACGGTGGGTGGTTTCCTTCCAGTGTTAGTGGTAGATTTGATCTACTAAAAGGCTTTATATGGAATATTGACTCAGTTGACATTATTAAATCAATTTGCTTTATCTACAATTCTGCATCTCCACATATAGCATTTTTTATGGTATTTAAAATAAGATGTTTTATTTGCATTTTTATTTGATCTGATCTTTTCAGTTATTTGGACCATTTTTGACGTCCTGCAAATAAATACCCAAAATCAAAAAAAATTTTCAGGAATTTTGGTTACAAAATTTTACAACATTTTTATTTAACTCAAACACATACCTTTACATATTAAAATAAGAGAAACAAATATATATATATATTTTCAGAGATACATTTCCAAATCATCAGAAGGTGAGAACATTAATTTTTGACATTTTCTGGATTCACTGAAATCTGATTAAAAGGAAAATAAACACTCAAGTCTGTCCCCCTTCTTTTTGCACACACTGCTCCTAGAAATAGCACTTAAATAATTCAACATGAGTTAGTAAGAGTGGCAGAATTACCTGCTGATAAAGCTTGGGTCCAACCTCTGAGACGGCAGCCAGCACTGCCTTCCTCACAGCGCAGCGGTGATAAGGCTGAAAAAGGGGAAGAATATCATGCAAATAGAAAGCAGACAGCAGCCACAACAAGCCCATGGGGACTTTTTTTTCCCCCCTCGGACAGATCGCACACAGTTCACACTAAAGCGCTAAAGCCATCACTTTGTTAAAGCAGTCCCCTGGAGGTGCAAGAGTCTCCATGATAGCACTCAGTACTTTATTCAACTCAACACTCCAAAGTGCTGGAGAAGGCACAGTAAATTATAAAGAAAGTTGATGAGGAGTCCCTGGATAATCCAAGTCTGAGCAGAAAATGCACTACAGAATATTGTGGGATGTTTACTTACCTCCTCATCCTTCACAAGCTCTTATTCTCCCACAGCGGGAGGAGGGAGAGGGATCGGGTCTGGGAATAAATTGATTTCAAGGGAACACAAGTTGACCTCTTGCTATCAGATGGCTTTTCTTTGACTATGAAAGAAGAAGAGAGGGTAAACAACAATATCTGGTGTTTGCCACTTCAAACCCCCACAAAGTAGGGGGAGTATTTACTGCCACATGAAAGTTTGCTCATTATCAGGGAGGTTTTGTAAGAAGAGGAAGAGGGAGGGGTCCTGATTGTGTACCTGATGTGGGCTTTTCTTTCTGCTTGCCTGATCACAGCTCTGCCTCCATCTTCCCCTTATCCTCCACAGCTGCGGCTGCTACAGTCCAGACCGAGCGGAGAGGGAAACTGCGTATAAAAAAAAAAAAAAGTGGTCAGCCTCCCTTTTTTGAGCTGTTTGATGATCCGCATGCTTGTGAAGACCAGTCCTGCTCTAATGGCCGATTATCAGATTTAAGATTCAGTCAGATAAGAACAAATCTGGAAATTCATTTAGAAGAATAAGTGGGAATGTTATTGTGAAAAGAGTAATTATGTTATAAAAAACAGAGGTAAGCAGTTTCAATACATTCCCCAGTTAAGCGATAAAAATTGCTATTAAGGCTTTTCTGTAAAATCAAGCAAACTCCATTTATGCATTGGTTGTCATACGCTGAAAAAAATTTTAATTTATTTTACTCTTTGTAAATTGTTGATAAATAATAATACATTCTACCAGTTTAAAATCAACCCTCCATTCATACATCCAACTGCTGACGTTCCATAATCACTTATTTTTCCTACATCTAAGTGTGATCATCTTTGTCTTTTTAAATTGTATGTTTTTAATTATATTATCTTTCCTTCTCAAGGCTTTCCTTGTATTTTGCAGCAAAATGTGCTTTATGAGAACTAAAGTTTTGTTAGATTTCATTATCAATGATCTTCCATGATCATTTCTGGCTAAATTGTTATGTAAAAAAAATAAATAAATGTGATCTGATCATTGCATCCTATTTGTCTTGCACAACAGAAGAAACACTTATACAGAAAATAACTGTTTAAATTGAGTAATTGTAACAATTAAAATAGTTGTAAAAATACTTAGTCTCTTACTGAAATAATTCTAAAAGAGTTAAATTAACACCAATTCTGAGAAGAACCAAATAGATTCAACACTGCCAAATTGACTGTATACAGAATGTTATCATTGCAACCAGATGGAAAAAGTGTGAAATAACTCAGCAGTCACATGGAGAAAAGTTTTTCAGGTTATCAAAAGTAGTTTGGCTTTATGATATTTAAACATAAACCATATTGTATTTACCCAATACATAATAATAACACAAATGTTTGATTTAAAAAAGAAAAGCAACAGCTATTTGCACATCTGCTAAAAAGTAATAATATTACAATAAGGGTTCATATATAATTTATTTAAATGTGTTGAAGCAAAGATGTAAATTAAGCACCTACTAAATTCAACCTGATTTTCTTGCTTTGTGATTTTTATAGAATAACATGCATATATCTTGTATTAGTCTTAGCTTGCCAGTTGTAGTTTTAAATGTCTTTTTTTTTAAAAAAAAAAAAGAAAAAATACCTACAAATAGTTCCAAACAGCCAAACTTTTTCTTGTTTGTCAGTCTGCTGACATCTACAGGTGGACCTCATGCTTAAACCCACCTGACCCGCTTTTGTGCCTCTTGTGATGTCACTGACACAAACGCCAACAGCTTTTTACCACCGTTCAAGCTTGTAAAATTGTACTCTGTAAATCCATTCTTCATTGCCCAAGTGTGTTTTTTTATTTATAGGGTACATTTGTTATAAAATGAAAAAAACTGGATGGTATCTTTAACTGCGCGACGTGGAACATACCGAGAAGCTCCTCTGTCACCATCATGCGCCATTACCCTCTGAGTCTTATCTCTCCTTTGATAAAGTGCTAATGACAAACAGTTTAAGGTTGTAAAATGGTCCAATTGATTACAGTTTAAAGATGAATGCGTTTGAATTAGATGGCATTTTGTCTAATGAGGTGCCTTTACAGCTGCTACAATACACAGAAAATGTGCTTAAGAGCAAGGCAACATTATGATGGGATTGCTTACAGAGACAATGGCGACTTCAGCATCACTTCAAATGAATCACGCTGAATGTCTCAAATAAAAAATAAAAAGTATAATTAAAGTGAATAAAGTTATTTTTTTGTGGTCTAAATATGTGACCTATTTTGAAGGTTTGTGTTCTGAAAATACATTCAGTAAGTGCCAAATGAGTTGTGCAGCTCTTTAATCATTCTAATTATACAGTCTTTATTGCTCCTTAGGGCAGAATTGTGTGTCTTTGTCTCAGTGGGAATTATTTTGGTGAAGAACCAAAATATTTACTCAACCACAACCTAAATATTATGCATATCAAGAGGAATTGAGATATAATCCCCTCATAGAGCACAGTATTAACTTAATCACATTAGGGGGAAATACTATTGATAGTGGTCATGATCCCTTGGTGAGGAGAGCTGCAATTCACAATGAAACATACAGCCATGCACAAATACAACACAGAGTGGTGTGTATCCAACATTGTGGACTCATACAGGCAACTGGGCCTTAGGGCTGTGTAGGTGTGTGTGTGTATGTGTGTGTTTGTGAATGATGGTGAGAGAAGAGGAGTGATTGTCAGTTGAGTCTTCGAGGACCTGAACTGACAGATACAACAAACTTTGAAAGCACATTACCCAGGGAGAATGGTAACACAGAGGCACGACGAGTCCGCCGGGGCTGATAAGACCTTCATCTTTAAACCGTCGCTTGTCAAAGTATTATACGTAATCTCACAGTGCAGAATATCTCCGCACCCTGAGGGGCACACAAAATAGCGGCGGCAATCAAATGGCTTCCTGTATCATTAAAGAAAAAAAAATAACAGCAGCGGCCTTTCCTAGCCTTTGAGAAGTCAGTTATTTTTAACTGTGATCACTGCCATCACCCAGGGGGCATACAGCAGGGAGAATAAGTATTGAACATGTTGGTTACCTCAGTAAATATATTTCTAATGGGGCTATTCACACAACGATTCGTACCAGATGTCAGTAACAATCCTTCAAGACATCTCTAGTATGTAGAGACGAGTCGCCAGCATTTCTCAGGTGGGATACTGATCCATTCTTCCTGGTGAACCATCATCAAATGTTGAAGGTTTTTCCATCGCGCTGATCATCAGTTCTTTCCACAGATTTGGAACTGAATTCCAGCTGAGAAAAGCAGCCATTTTATTTTTAATTAAACAAACTGACAGTTTTCTTGGCAGCGTTTGGGGTCGTTGTGTTTATTCTTCTTCAGATGTTTATCAAAAATGCTAGAGTACATTTCTCCATAAATCTTCAGTCACCAGAACTTCCAGAACCAACCTGCTGAAAAAACATCATCGATTTCAAAAGTCTTCCAAAAGTCACTGAGTTTTGATGTTGACCTTCAATCTTGATCAACTCCTCTGTCCTACATGAAGAAGTTGATCATGTCTGGTTTATGGTTAAATACAAGTCAGCCATATTCCACTCCTGGATTAAGGCTTCCTTGGTTTTCGCTGGGAGATTTATGGAGTTAGAAATATGCCTTCAACAAATTCTATCAGTATGTTTTCCAACAGCAAGGATACAAAGGTCTCCAATGGGGGCTCTTTACTCTTACCTGTCATAATAATCGTCCTGGGTGACACCTTGGCAATCACAAACCTTTCATTTTCAGATATTTTCTTGGCTTTCTGTGCCTTTTCACAGCTTCTTTTCATCATTTCTCAGTTTCTTATTCTCTTATTTATTCTACTTTATTAAACTGAACTTAATTTAGAGACTTATTTGATTTGATGTGATTGACTTGTGATATTACTCACATCTCTGTGCATTGGATCCATACGTAGAGAGAGAAAAAAACATTGACGTGTCCAATACTTATTTCTCCAGCTGTATGTTTCTGTTTACCTGCAGGCCATGAGACGACTTGTCCCATGATGGACTATTTTGAACAATTTAGGAGCTACATTATTTCCGGGCTTTCTCTTCCTCATTATTTTCTCCCTTATCCCCGCTGCATCACTGCAAAGCCCCAAATGGAGAGTTGTAATTACCCAGACTGCCACCTGATAGCAGGCCCCTTTCTATCAGCTTTATCACTGCAGGTCCTGCTAACTCATCACAGAGACAGAGGGGAAAGAAAAGGGTCCTGCTCATGGCACAGACAGCTAATCTCTAAGATACATTTATAGTTTCAGTTGGAATCAGAGAAAACTGATGCAGCAAGGCAATTTTTTTTCATCCTTTCCTTCAACCTCACAAAGACTGCTCTCTCTCAGTCTTCTCCCAGTGCCTCGCTCTTTATGTGAAAGCTGAACTGAGACTGCTCCCGCAAACAAAAAGTGATCCAATCTCCTTGAACCTCTGGCAATGCAGCAACACGTTTTCTTTTTTTTTTTTTTTTTGTGGTCTTTCATAAGAGCGGTGGCGTCCTTCAGAGGAATGAGAAAAGAAAAGCTCCAAAAGGTGACTTGTTCATCTTTAACATTGCACAGCACTTACATCAAATTATTTCCAGGTTATTAGCCACCTTTGACCCTTATTTAAATTTCCCTCCTGTTTTGAATGAGAAACGAAGAATTCATCAAAAACATTTTTCATCTTGACTGAAGAAATCAATAGAAACAACCATGAAAAGTTGGGGACAAGGGTCATTTATTCATTTTATTTAATTTTTTCAGGTATACAAGTCTGTAAAACTGAAAAGATGAATAAAAGTGATCCTAAGCCCACGTTAGAACGAAAGAAAAAACTTTTGAGATACTCAATTCTACCATGTTGCATAAAACACTGATTGTTGGGTTTTAGACCTCGAATTCTGTGACTTATAAAAACAAAATTATATAATTACACCAGAGAAGAAAACAATTACATCAAGTCAGAACCAAAAAACTACATCTTTGATGCGGGGCTTTTATTAGTAAACATTTATTTAAGTTTGGTGTAAATGTCTCTGAATTTAACACATATTTAGAATTCAACTTTCATTTTGTGAAATGTCTTCTGTGTATTATTTTCACCTTCATTAATTAGGCTTGCTAATCACCTGACGGCATTTGATGGGGAAAATAATCAAATTATTGATATCGACACTTCTATTAAAAGTTTACAATTACCTGGCAATTCAAAGTGGAAGCATGGGTTAGTGTGCTGCAGGCTCATAGATGCACTTTCCTCTATCACTTTGTGACAATGAAAGTGGCCCTTTGAGCGTCCACTCATCAGTAAGTCAAAAGAAACAGCTCGAGCCACTGTGACCTCCATCA